TGCTATCATCCTCCATCAAGAAAATTCTATATCTCCGCCGATGTTACCTTCTTCGAAAACAAATCTTATTTCCCTAAGTCCCATCTTCAGGGGGAGACAACTAATCTTGAAGATGGTACTTGGTCTGAGTCGTTTGAGTCTTTTGAACCACTTGATCTTCCGTCTACTTCTCATTCTCCTTTAGTCATCACTTCGGTCACCCCACAAGGTCCTGCCCACAAGCCCGAGTCTTCCAACACAGAAACCGATCCTACTTGTCAACCCCAAGAGTCTGTCAGTTCTGAAAATCCGAAAGAGCCTGTGTCTAGTCAAGTTACTGATGTTCATCCAAGGTTTTCTCAGGTGTATACAAGAAGGGCAAAAGCCCCAAACCTAACACAAGTCCAAGAGACCAACCCGAGTCCTGAGAATGAGGGCATGGTGAGTACAGATTCATTCTTAGACACTGAGACAGTTGAAGCTTCAACTGATGACTCTCATCTGCCCATTGCCATCAGGAAAAAATCCCGAGAATGCTCCAAGAGGCCACTATATCCTCTTTCCCACTATGTCTCACCTAAACACCTGTCACCATCCCACCCGAGGTTTATAGCCAGCCTAAACACAATCTCCATACCAAATACACTTTATGAGGCGTTATTGAAGGAGGAGTGGAGGAAGGCTATGAGAGAGGAATTAGAGGCTCTGGAAAAGAATCAAACATGGGAGATAGTGGAGAGACCAAAAGGAAAGAACATAGTTGATTGCAAATGGGTATTTGCATTAAAGTATAAGGCTGATGGATCTCTCAAGAGATATAAAGCAAGGTTAGTTGCGAAAGGGTACACTCAGACTTATGGGGTGGATTATCTGGAGACATTCGCTCCGGTGGTAAAAATGAATACCGTGAGGATTTTAGTGTCGTTAGCAGCCCGTTTTGACTGGCCATTGGTACAATATGATGTGAAAAATGCCTTCCTCCATGGAGACTTGGATGAGGAGATATATATGAGCATCCCGCCAGGATTTGAGGGGAATAAAACCAGTGACAAAGTCTGCAAGCTTAAAAAGGCTCTATATGGGCTAAAACAGTCCCCTAGAGCATGGTTTGGCAGATTTGCTAAGGTAATGAAAGATTCGGGTTATAGGCAAAGGCAAGGTGATCACATGTTGTTCTTCAAACATTCGGCCTCAGGGGGAGTGACTGCCTTGCTTGTGTATGTTGATGATATCATTGTAACGGGGAATAATGAGAAGGAGAAAGATGACTTGAAGAGAAGACTGATTCAAGAATTTGAGATAAAGGAACTTGGTAGATTGAATTATTTTCTTGGGATTGAGGGCATACTCTAGACAAGGCATCTTTCTATCCCAACGGAAGTATGTGACTGATCTTCTAATAGAAACTGGAAAGGCTGATTGTAAACCGGCTGCCACTCCTGTGGACTCAAACCAGAAATTAAGTGAAGCAAGAGAGGAACCACCAGTGGACAAGGGAATGTATCAAAGGCTAGTTGGAAGACTCATATATCTCACTCACACTCAGCCTGACATATCTTACTCAGTGAGTGTGATCAGCCAATTTATGCATGATCCGAGGGAGCCTCACCTTCAAGCTGCACATAGAATACTGCACTACTTGAAGGGCAGCCCTGGAAAAGGGATCTTGTTCAAAAGGAACTATGTTTTGGCGTTAGAAGCATATACAGATGCAGATTATGCCGGTTCTATAGTGGATAGAAGATCAACAACTGGCTATTGTACATTTCTTCGTGGTAATCTGATAACATGGAGGAGCAAAAAGCAGAATGTTGTGGCTAGATCATCTGCAGAAGCTGAATTTCGAGCTGTTGCTCAAGGGATGTGTGAACTACTTTGGCTGAAAATTATTCTAGAGGATTTGAGAGTCAAGTGGGAGGAACCTATGAAGCTCTACTGCAACAACAAGTCAGCAATCAACATCGCTCACAATCCTATTCAACATGATAGGACAAAACATATTGAGATTGATAGGCACTTCATCAAAGAGAAGTTGGAAGAAGGACTCATATGTATGTCCTGTGTTCCTTCAGGAGGTCAATTGGCTGACGTTCTAACAAAATGATTAAATGGTTCTAATTTTCATGAGATTGTAGCCAAGCTGGGAATGGAAGATATTCATTTCTCAGCTTGAGGGGGAGTGTCGAGAGGTATTTTAGGCTGTAAATCAATTAGGAAAATTAGTTTTAACAATTCCTGACTTTCAGGGATTGTGGTAGATATCCTTTCCTATTTTCTCTCTATGTAAACTCTATAAATACTTAGCCATGTAATTATTCAGTATACGAAATATTAATAGATAATTTTTCATCCCTAGTTTGCGTCAGTTTCTGTATGTAAACCGGTTGTAATTGTCATGTAATATACAATTCCTTCAATTTTTTCTCTCAAATTTCCACAAGAGGGCAACAACATAAATTCAGAACCAATTTTACCCCAGAGCATCACAACTCTTTAGAAGAAGCCAAAACTTCTCACTCTTCATGCTTTGTAATGTCGTGTAGTATCTTCTCTTGTTTAACTGTTTGTGAAGGACCACTTGTTCTTCCAGGAATTCGTCTTTGTTCCATTATTAATTATTATTAAACATTAAGTTCAGTTTCTTATTGAAAAATGTAAGCAAGAGTACATTTGAAACGAACTAATCACTCAACTTAACGTGCTATAACATTCAGATTCCATACAAGGTTATGGCTACTCATTACAGAACATTTATGGAACCTGTAACCATGACACTCATTCTGGGAATTGGGAACTTTCAAAAGCCATTGAATTGAACCAAACCTTTAATATATCATCCTCCAACTTCTGTATTAACTTTTGTTGTTCATTGACCTTTGCTGTCAGTTCTGCTATCTTGCCTTCAGCTGTTTCAAGCAGTGATGCTTTCTCTGAAAGTTTGACCTAGAGGTAAGAAAAACAGTGTTAGGAAAGCTAATGGAGAAGACAATTAAATAATTACCTCCTATAAATTTGCATACGAATGTTTTAATTTATATTAAAGATATGATTCTTGGTATTCGACTACGTGTGAGGATTCTGCGCCTGCATGCAATTCGAGAAGAGAATACATGATATACCATGAGAATAGAGCATCAAACAAACTTCACCTTCATCTGTGTAAGTTCGTGTTCCATTTTCCTGTTCTTATCAAGAAGAAGAGACTCCATTTTGCTCATCTCTTCTCCACTTGTAGCTACTTCCCAATCTTCTGCCTCAATTGAGTTATAACCCACTGCCTGGATATATTACCTTGAGTGTTAGACAGAGATGCAGCAAACGTTGTTGAATTGACAAGAATCAAAAGTAATCTTGTCACACTGTTAATAAGAATGATGATGCGCAGAAAAAAAAAATCCTCAGGAAATTAAAAGAGACCATCGATCACTAAATCATACAACAAATTAAAAGAACAGTTGAAGAATTTTGAAAATATCAGGCAGAACATATATTTTCGTTCTGCGCGGTACCATGACCAGAAAATGCTGCTAAGAATACTAGTATATCAAGACTTCAAGCAGTTTCAGTATCAACTATGACCTTATCAGTTAAAATTTTCTCAGACTAATAGTGAAAATGACGTTTATATGGACGAAAGCATAGATGTTGGGAAAAGTTAGCTGAACAGGTAACTATCATAGTTTCGCAGCAAATTAATTTCAACTTCTCCAAATTGCATGATCAACACCCTATAGTCGAGTAGTACATTGAATATACCACATAAATCAAATAACTTGTCTACAATCGAAGAGAACTTTCTAAAGGAAGACTTGATTAATTTCGAAAATTGTAAAGGGATGGAATTACCTGCAAAATTTTGACCTTTTTACGCAAATCATCAACCAATTTCTCTGTTGGCCTTGCCTGAAGCTCTTTCTTCATCTCCTCAAGGGCTATTTCCTGATTAATGAAGAAGGAAAATTAAATCGCGATATAGAAAAAGAATAGAAGTGGTTAACTAGTATATGCAGGGCAGAACCAGAAAATGTTCCAGGAGGGGCAGAACCAGAAAATGTTCCAGGAGGGGCAGAATTCAGAAATTGAGAAAATTTTTGGATTTTGGGTCCCAATCTCATTGAAATAGAAGGAATACAAGAATGCTAGCCTTGCACATCTGAAAGCACAATTTCGAGACACACATATATATACTTTTTCACTTCTAGTGTTTGTTTCAAAATAATGGGACTTTTTATGAAGTCAAGACATGATTTATGCCTTTTTATTATAAATTCTTACATTTCATATTTTGTAGAGTTAGTTTGCTCGCATTACTTCCATTAATTGTGGAATCAATTGCAAAAGAGAATAAAACAGACAAAATGAAAACAGAAGCAAAATGAAATCAGAGACAAGAAACAAAAAGCTAACCAAAGATCCCCTTAAACAGACAACAATTAACCCCCCTTCCAGTTCAAAATATTCAAAGAAAAAGGGAAGTCCTTTACTTAACGAGTATTAAAACACTCTAGTACCCAAACTGGCCTTCTTAGACATAGATTTGGTTACGTATTTTATTTATAACACAAAAGTCTCAATGTCTTTGTTTTTGTAGCAAACTGAACCAAGAATTTGCATATTCCCGTTGAACATCATACAAGAGAATAATACCCATGCGATCTCGAATAGAGATAAGAAGAGGACTTCCTATCAGGGAAAGCAAAGAATATCAGGATGCGAATATAAAAAGCTTTTTTCACTAAGTAATATACCTTTTCGTGGAGCAGGGAATTCAACTTCTTGATCTCATTAATATGTTCTTCTCGCTCACTTGATAAGGTTGTTTCAATATTGTGGAGTTCCATGTTGAGTTCAGAAATGATCTTCTCTTTCGCTATCAAAGAATTCTCAAGGATGGTATTTGAATCTATATCGTCACTGTAAGTACAGGAAACAACTGTACGCTAAAAGCATAACCCAGCCACCGCATTCATATAAAATTTCGGATAGTAGTAGCACATAGATTATGTCGGAAATTAATACTGAACAAAAACTTCACCAAATGTAGAAGAGTATCAATATCGGGCCATTATCTTCGGTACTAAAAAGGTAAGAGTAAAACCTGCCTGCCCCAATCAGACTCTCTCTCTCTCTCTCTCTCTCTCTCTATAGTTAAAAAACGAGAGAATATTATTAAAAAGTAAAAAAAAAAAAAAAAGAGGAAAGTACAAAAGGGGAAAAGAAGTCCCACAGAACAAAACAATAAATACAAGCCTTAATCCCAAATTAATACAACCCCAGTCAGACTATCCTCTCTCTCTCTCTCTCTCTCTCTCTCTCTCTCTCTCTCTCTCTCTCTCTAGTTAAAAAATGAGAGAATATTATTAAAAAGTAAAAAAAAAAAGAGGAAAGTACAAAAGGGGAAAAGGAGTCCCACAGAACAAATCAACAACAACAACAAATACAAGCCTTAATCCCAAATTAATTGGAGTCGGCTATATGGATTTCTCGTTTCCAGTCTGCTCTATTAAACACGAGACCCTCCTGAAGTCCTAGATCTTGAAAGTCGTGCCTAACTACGTCAGCCCAAGTAATTCTTGGTCTACCCCTCGCTCTCCTAATACTAGGTATTTGGATGTTCTCCCAAGCATGAACAGGTGCATCTAACGATCTACGCTGTACATGCCCGTACCACCTTAGACGGTTTTCCAACACCTTATCTTCTATCGGTGCTACACCTATTTTACTACGAATAACTTCATTCCGTATGCGATCCATCCTCGTATGGCCACTCATCCATCTTAACATACACATCTCCGCCACACTCATCTTGTATATTTGTTGTCTCTTGATGGCCCAACATTCACTACCATATAACATAACATAGCTGGCGAATTGATGTCCTATAGAATTTTTCTTTCAACTTAATAGGCATCTTATCATCACATAAAACTCCCGTGACATTCTTCCACTTAACCCACCCCACCTTAATCCTATGTCCAATCCAATATCCTCATCTATATCCCCTTCAAACTGCACTATGGACCCAAGGTACCTAAATTTCCTAGAAAACCCAATCACCACACCATCCAAAGAAATTCCATCACTCTGATCTCTCAAATTACTAAACCTACAATGCATGTACTCAGTCTTCGTTCTATTTAACTTAAATCCTTTCGTCTCAAGGATCTGTCTCCATAGTTCTAACTTACAGTTAATTCCCTCCCGATGTTCATCAACTAAAACTATATCGTCTGCAAAAAGCATACACCAAGGAATCCCATCTTGAATTTCTCTTGTTAGCTCGTCCATCACGATAGTAAAAAGATAAGGACTATGAGCGGAACCTTAATGAAGGCCAATCCAAATGGAAAACTCTTCCGTATAGCCTCCAGTAATTCTCACACTTGCGACAACACCATTATACATATCCTTTATTACCTTGATATACCTCATATATCCCAAAGAACAAAACAAAACGAAAGAAAATCTATCAACACAAAACTAGTGTAGGACTAAATCCCAACCCCTAAGTAAACGGATGGAGAAGACTATAGAGAAGACTATCTTCTCTATAATTCTACATAATGGAATCACTTTTGTAAGAAACTGGATGGAGAAAGATGAAGCCCCAGTACCGTAGACAAAGCCGTAGCCTGTAAAAAGTGGTAACCTCACCTTTTCTCATCTGTCTCTTCATTTGCTGACTGTAACTGGGTGCGTAGAAGCCCCTGCAATTTGTAGTTAACAAATGATTGCGTTATCATATATGAAAGGCCAAATAATTTGAAAGGCAAAGACGAATAGTAACAACATGCTTGACACACTGATTCTCACGATAACGTATGTGATAAAAAAAAAAGGAAAAAAAAAAGAAAAAAAAAAGAAAAACAGATGGCTGTGTCCAGACCAAGAATATGATTCCACCCATCAAAACTTAAGATCACCGCTAGACTAGTGCGGCTAATCTGGAATTGAAATAAGTGATAATAAACTAGTCCAGACCAGGTTACACATTGAACTCGTTAACGTAAAAAGGGTTTCCAAATGAACTAATAAAACCACAGAATTATTCAGTGGTCCAATGAATGTGGGTTCAAAATGTACGTTGCAGAACACACCTTCTCCCTCTCCAGGCTAAGAAGGCGTGTCTGAGCTCGTTCAACTTCGTCCATTAAAAGATTGACCTCTGATTGCTTTGCTGCCCTTTCTTCCTCTGACTCATTAAACAACACATCATAAAATTCTGAAAAATTGATCTAGGATTTGCAGATAGATGAAACATTTGAAATACAAGCATTTTACACAACAAGAATTAAACACAAAATATTTAGCATATAACCTGACTGGGCACGAAGCTCAAATAATTGGGTTTGCGCAAGCTCATGTAGTTTTTGCATATTGGAAACACTGTCCTTTGCTTGTCGTAATTGATCTTGCAACAATTGTTCTCTGCATAAATTAGGAGTTCACGGATCATTGTAAAGAAAGGTAAGAACATTTAATTTGAAAGGACATCATTATACAGAGTAACAAACTATTTGTAGACAACAACTGTCGATTATGATAGATTTTATCTTCTATTTATTAGGGAAAATTATTAGGAGTGTTATGTTTTAATAAGAGATTTGAATTAATATTCAAATCTTATAGCTTATCTTATTAGTTTATCTTATCCTTTAGAAGGGATAATTAGTTTCCTAGTTTATGGCTGATAACTCTAAGAAATTAGAGTTATCTTATGTATTTTTAGCTTAAAGTTTGCTTAGCCCAGAGTGTATTTCATTTCTCTGTCTTAACTTAGATTTTCTAGTTTTGCATTTTTATCTTTTAAATTCTGTACTTGTGCTGCTCTCGGGTTAAAAATGAGTGATTTGAGTCAAAAAAAGAGGTTAAAATATGCCTAAGTTGTGATTTTGCAAATTGCAGGGAGAATGCTATGACTATGCTGCAGCATTTAGGCAGCATTCTGGGTGCAGCTAGCAAATGGTATGACATCAGCACACTACCTGGAGGAAAAGGACAAAAGACCTATGTGAGCTGATTGAGCTATACAGCAGTGTGGACCACTTCAGCCCCTATCAATTGACACCTCAGCCCTTTTTGTTGCCCTAAAGAGGACATGCTTTCTGAAAACAAAAGGGCAGCCGCCGAGTACAAAAGAAAAAAAAAGAAAACAGAAGGAAAAAAGAAGGCAATAGAGAACACAGTACATAACGGAGGGAGAAAAAAAAGGCAGGACCAGAGACGTGAAACAAAAGAACAAAAATTCAAGAGAGAGAGAACAGCAGCAAGGAAGATCCAAAGGGAAGGACAAGGAGAAACTCTAGAAGATCCAAAATCTAGCTCCTCGATTCTTCTTCCTTCTATTAGCTTCATTCTTTGTTATTTTTGTTATTAATTAATACATGAATTACTTTGGAAATCTGGTTTCTGTAATTACCATTATGAACTAATTTGTTAAGCTAGATCTGCTAATGGAACTGAGGTTGTAAGGATGATGTTTGCTTGAGAAATGTTGATTAATTCTATTTCATGTTCATCTATGTATGCTTAATGCTTATTTCTATTTTTGGCTGGCCATCGATCATAGAATATAAGACTAAGATTAAAACTAGAAAGGTTAAATTTTAGTTAGATCCAACATAGATGATGCAAGTTCTCAATAATCTTGTTTTAGTTTGTTGATTTGTGAATGGTATAGGAATATATTGTTCATCTTGCATAACATAAAGAAATCTGAGCTTAATTTGCATTCTAAAACTAGATTCACATAGGAATATGCTGGAAATGGTTGAGGAATCTGTAGACATAAACACTTTGGAAGAATCTTATGCACAATAAATGAGTTTCTGTTAACATGACGTTTAAATGCTATAGCATTCTTGCAGCATTCTGTCAGATTTGCAACTAAGGGGAAATTAGTAGGTCTAGCTGATTCACTCCACTGCATACACTCCATTTTAGCATTTTTGATCTTCTGGTTAATCTTTTCTTACATTTTATTTTACATTTATGCATTTAAATCAATTGGGTAATTTTTGAACAGTCAACTTTTTATCATTCTTAACGAGTAAACTAGTTAATTTCTGCATGTACACTTGGTGATTCATTCTCTGTGGGACGATATCCGTACTTTGTACACTTTATTACTTGTCTGCGACACGTGCACTTGCGAGCATAAAAATCACGCAACGAGTTTTTGACGCCATTGCCAGGGATTGAAATCATTAAAAGTATTTGTAAGAGTCAATTTGTTTTCCGTTTGTTTACTTTTTTTTTCTCATTCGTTTTGCTTTTAATTTCTCAGGTTATTATGCCGTTTGCATGAATCCACCGCAAGTCTTGGAGTTGCTGCCTTTAGATCCTGAAATTGAAAGAACATTCTGAGTTAGGAGAAGGGAACAACAAGGCTTAGCAAGAGTGGGAGAAATGGCAGAAGGGGCAGAATGAAACAATGGGCAACACGTAAATGCCAACATTCCTGTCCTCCAACCGGTACTAGTAGATGACGAAAACAGGGCCATTCGAGATTATGCTGTGCCCATTTTACATGGACTTAACCCCGGCATAGTGAGGCCAGCGATTCAGGCGCCTCATTTTGACCTCAAGCCAGTGATGTTCCAAATGCTCCAAACTATGGGCCAATTCAATGGCATGGCAACTGAAGAACCTCACCTCCATCTCAGACAATTTATGGAGGTGAGTGATGCTTTCAAGCTACCGGGTGTGACTGAAGATGCGTTGATGTTAAAGCTATTCCCTTATTCTTTGAGGGATAGAGCTCGAGTATGGCTGAATTCTTTGCCTCCAAATTCGGTGGCGACATGGGATGATTTGGCAGAGAAGTTTCTCGTGAAATACTTCCCTCCAACCAAGAATGCCAAGCTAAAGGAACGACATTACCTCTTTCCAACAAACAGATGGAGAGTCATTATATGAAGCATGGGAAAAATTCAATGAGCTATTACGGAAGTGCCCTCATCATGGGATCCCCCATTGGATTCAAATGGAGACCTTTTATAATGGTCTCAATAGGCAAACAAGGACTATAGTTAATGCTGCAACTGGTGGAGTTATTTTGGCCAAGTCTTGCAATGAAGCATATGAGATTTTGGAGAGGATGGCCAACAACAATTATCAATGGCCAACCGAGAGACTTAATGCGAGGAAGGCTACTAGAATTCATGAAGTTGACGCCATCACAGCACTCTCAGCTCAAATGCCATCTTTGACGAATATGGTGAAAGCATTGAACATGCCGGCAAGGGTAAATTCTATGCAAACTGCTGGATTCTCTTGTGTTTACTGTGGAGAGGGCCACTTGTATGAAGATTGCCCATTCAACCCAGCCTCTGCTTGCTATGTTGCTAACTTCAACAGGAGTAGCAATCCTTATTCGAATCTTCACAACCAAGGGTTGAGGCAACATCCAAACTTGACTTGGAGTAATAAAGGAACGAGTTCTACTGGAGCTAACGCTTATCATAGACCCACATATCCACCCGGTTATCCACATCAACAACAAAGAACACAAGCGGATCAATCTAGCTCTTTGGAGAGTTTGCTAAAAGAATTTATAGCGAGGAGTGAAGCCAAAATCCAAAGTCATAATGCAGCACTGAGGAATGTAGAAAATCAAATGGGGCAGATTGCTAACTCTTTGAACAACCGGCCCCAAGGTTCTCTCCCAAGCACCGAAGATCAACGGAGAGAAGGGAAAGAACACTGTAAGGCTATTTCACTAAGGACCGGAAAGGAGTTGGAGCTAAGGGCAAGACTTCAGGATGTACAAACAGAGCCCACTTCAATCCAAGAGGAAGAGCAGCAAACTCAGCCACAAGAAGAACAGCGAAGGAATCAACAACCAAATTCTGACGTGCAAAATGCTATAGCATCCTCGCAGCATTCTAGAGCAGCAGAAATCAGTAACAGCAGTAGCAGCCGACCACCTCCACCATTCCCATTGCGCTTTCAAAGACAGCAAGAAGATGGACAGTTTCGCAAGTTTTTAGATGTGTTGAAGCAGCTACACATCAACATACCTCTAATGGAAGCCCTGGAACAGATGCCCAGCTATGCTAAGTTTATGAAGGATTTAGTGACTAAAAAACGCAGGCTTGGGGAGTTTGAAACAATAGCTTTGACTGAAAAATGCAACGCTATTTTGCAAAACAAACTCGCTTGAAGGATCCGGGAAGTTTCACCATTCCGTGCTCCATTGGCAACCAATATTTTGGTAAGGCATTGTGCGACTTGGGAGTGATTATAAACTTGATGCCGATATCCATATTCAAGAAGTTGGGAATTGGCGAAGCAAGGCCTACCACCGTGTCTTTGCACCTCGCAGACAGATCAATTGCAACTCCCAAAGGAAAAATTGAGGATGAGCTAGTTAAGGTGGATAAGTTCATTTTTCTGGCGGATTTTATATAATTCTTGACTATGAAGCAGATAGAAAAGTACCTATAATTTTGGAAAGGCCGTTTCTTGCAACATGCCGCACCTTAATTGATGTTAAAAAAGGTAAGCTTACCATGAGGGTACAAGAAGAGCATGTCACATTCAATGTATTCAAGGCAATGAAACTCCCAAGTGAGATTGAGGAATTTTCGGCCATTTCAGTTGTTGACTCTTTGGTGGCTGAAAAGCTTGAGCAAGACAACCTTGAGGAGAATGAGGAAGAAGTTGTTGAGCAAGTAGAGTGGTTGGAAGCTAATTCAACAGTGCCAAGGTTCGCAAGGAAGTTTGAGTCTTCGGACTTGGCGGATCGTGAACACAAGCCATCTTGGCCATCAAGCGAAGAACCACTGGCCTTGGAATTAAAGCCCTTACCTGCTCATTTGAGGTATGCTTACTTAGGGGAATCCTCAACTCTACCTGTTATCATTTCTGCTGAGTTGACAAAAGTACAGGAGGAAAGCTTGCTTACTATTTTAAAAGAGTTCCACGGGGCTATTGGATGGACTATGGCTGACATTAAGGGTATAAGTCCCTCGTTTTGCATGCACAAGATTCTCTTGGAAGATGATCAAAAAAGGTCAATAGGGGGACAAAGGAGGATGAACCCAATCATGAAAGAAGTGGTCAAGAAGGAGATAATCAAGTGGCTAGACGCCGGGATCATTTATCCAATCTCCGACAGTGCATGGGTGAGTCCGGTCCAGTGTGTCCCTAAGAAAGGGGAAATTACTGTTGTAGTGAATGACAATAATGAGTTAATCCCCACAAGAACTGTAACGGGCTAGAGGATATGCTGGACTATAGGAAGCTCAATAAGGCCACAAGGAAGGATCACTTCCCACTCCCCTTCACTGATCAGATGTTGGATAGATTGGCAGGGAAGGAGTATTATTGCTTTTTGGATGGATATTCTAGATATAATCAGATCGCTATCGCGCCAGAAGATTAACATAAGACCACGTTTACTTGTCCATTCGGCACGTTTGCTT